CTGTCGTCATTTCATTTGCTTGTCTCGTTTGTCTCGTGTTCCGTGACTTGAACTCTGATTGGTTGATCTGATTTGGCAGTAAGTTTGGATGATTCCTGATTGGCAGTAAATCGCCTTCTGAGTTCGCAGTCCGAAAATTGATCTTGATTCGATCGGTGATTCGTCCGACTGCTCCGCTCTCGGTGGATGACTCGTTGATTCCTCAACTCCATTAGCTTGATTCTACACGCGGGGGATTTCACTCCGGTTCGTCGTGCGCGATTTGTCGATTAGCTCCGCGCCTCGTTGGTTCGTCGGTTTGTGCCGAGCTGAGCTAAGGGACCTATAAGCAATTTTATATGCCTACACTAGGTTCGTCTTTGCCCTAAGAAAAGACACAATATTTCAACACCAGAATCCATGTCTGGGGGATTTTATCTCGATCCCTAATTAGATATAAGTCTACGCCTAACACGCATTACTGGTTAGTCTTTTGTCACAAAAATAATACCAGGATTCATGCTTGGGGGATCTTATCTCGATCCCTAATAAGAGATAAGTCTACGTCTAATACACGTTATCGGTTAGTCTATTTTCATAAGAAAGACGAAGTCTACGTATTCAATATCGTAGCACTAAGAGAATTAACTATTTTAGCACAACGTTACATGTGAAACGGACTTAGATAATTCACATGCTAGCCCAACTCAAACAGTAGTCAGTAAAGGCTCATCAAAACCGTTGATGGTATAAAAGTCACTGACGCACCAGCTTCCTATAATCAAAACTCCCATGTGGTTAAGAAAAGTTGACAAATGATTAACAGGACGTTAGGATAAGATCTATACCTGCAGATAAACCAGCCTTAACAATTGGTCCTGCAGCCTCTACACTTGGGCCTGCCACGCCCTAATGCTGGACAATGTGTTACAAAAGAAAGTCAACACCGATCAACGTGTTACAAATGAAAGTCAATACCGATCAATGCGTTGCAAATAAAAGTCAACATCGGACAACGTGTTGTAATGAAGGTTAACATGTCGATAATTTTGCCAAAATAAGGCTTAGGATTACCCCCCGGAAATTCAATCATGATTCAGATATAAATTCCCAACAAAGATGATCAAGTTCAAAATCGATTCAATGACATGAGCTAAATTCAGAAACTAATACACTAGCTTCAGTTTAAAGTTTCGACAACGGTCATACGATAAATGCAACACCAAAAAAATTTTAGCTATTCGACAAAATATTGAATAGATTGAAAGCTGAAGAAGTCTAAGAAGTGAAGGCTGGGACCATCATATCCAAAGTATTCCAGCCTCCTTTATAAAAGAATGAGGCTAAAATACTTTGGAGGAGGTATTTGTAGGCATCAAAAATTACCTATAGGGTATCACACATAAGCTCAAGTTGAAAGGAAGGCGATAAACGTCATCATCTGAGTTACAGGGAATCACCCATGCCAAAGGACAACTAAGGAGCCAAATCAACAATGGGAATCATAATTCGACGACCCCTACAAACCAAGTAAAGGTCGACATCTCAATCCACCAGACGAGACGACACCTCCTGTGTCAACTTGAAAGGTAGTCGACGTCTCAACCAGACAAGACAATACCTCCATGTCGACTTAAAAGATGTTGGCGGTTAACTCAAAGTTTGAGACGAGACCCTAGACAAGATCTCCTTCGTATCGACTCGAAAGGCGTTAGCAGCCGACTCAAAGTCTGAGCTAAGACCCAAGATGATACCTATTTTGTGTCGACTCAAAAGGCGTTAGCAGTCAACTCAAAGACCCGAGATGAGATCTCCTTCACGTCGACTCGA